GTGTGTGACACCGGGGCGAGTGCCGGGTCAGGAAGGGTCAGAGGGGGACAAAAGAGCGGAGCAGCTCCCAGCTGCCGGGCCAAACGTCATCCAGCACAGCCCCCGCCCCCCATCCCCCGTTCTTTTCAATGGGAGCGTGCCGCTGTTCGGCTTCTGCTGACACATGAAGATTTACACACACACACGCACACACGCGCACACGCACAGGAGTGATCACACACACACACGCTGTCGGGCGGGACGGCCCTCAGTCATGTCTAGGGCATGCATCAGCAGGCCTAAGGGGGTAAGAGAGCACCTGGGGACATATGCAGCATGATACACTCTGATGTTGTATTTCCAAAGAATATGTTGCTTCAAGGGAGGAAATTACAGAATTATAAAAAGCAAAATGAATCTTAAAAATGTCTGATCAGGTCACATTTCATGTTAGTGATCCAGTGTCACCTCAGATCTAGTGACATGAAGCTATCAGGAGTCAAATACCTGCTCTGTTCAACCATCAAAACATCCCGTTTGCATACAGGCAGAAGAGGAAAGCAAGCCGGACTTGTTCAGTAAGAATCGTTTAATGAGTTCATAATTATTCATTTAGGAGAGAGAAGTCTAAGGTGGGGTTTTAATCAATCTGTCAGACTTCTTAAAGTCACTTTGCCTCGTCAGATTTTTCTTATTAATATCTAAAATAAACTACAGTTGTGCAACATTTGATCTTAAACGTGTCTGCGGTACAACATGTAATCAATTCTAATTACTGTACTTAAGAAAACATATCTTCCAAGTAATTACACAAACTGATGGACAGTACAGGCCGAGTTTCAGGGCACGGCATCAGCAGGACCAGAATGAAGTCTGAATGTCTACAATAATCTAAGTATGATGTAACAAGCGCTGGGCCTATGTTAAACATTTTTAGAGTGGGAATGAAGCTGCATTCATGAGCTCATCGGATGGTCCCAGTGTTCGAGTTGGGAAGTCGTTCTTCCATGTTTTCAGTTTGGAAAGTCTGAATGTTGTTACACCTATACAAAAAAACTGCGTGGACACTCTGAAGAAGATTCATGGACTGTCACTGTAACAAATTATATTTCAGCAAATGGTTGACGTTCAATACCCGAATTAATAAAAAGTATATTAACATTAACAAAACGATTATATCGTCAAGTAAGGCACCTCATTTTTTCCAGAGTTTCTGTGTTGTTGTTAAGCCTTGAGCAGGGGCTCATGTATATTTCACAACTCAGAAAATTTTTCCGATGTGTCCAACACCACATGAATGCACCATGAAGTCCAAATTTCCACAATCACATTGACAGTTGCAATAAGCAAAGAAAAAACAAAGTTTATATAAAAAAGCAAGTATAAACATTTATAGCCTTGATAATTTGGCATTATCCTAAAATGAATAAATGAATAATAACAATAATAAATAGCAGATTTTTTTTTATTATATGGCATTAATACCCTTCTTCTGTGCAAATAACACATTATCTTTGACAGTTTTAGTTCTATTTTACGTTCAAGTGTGTCTATTTTTGTCATTTTTGCTATTACCGTATTAGCCAAAAATGATACAGATTATTTCCTTTCTAAATCTGTACTCTTTCTGTTGTTTCCCTCCAAAATGCGTGATGTTTTTGTCGCGTTATTTTAAATCTGAATCATCATCTACGTCACTTGGGTTAAAAGAAGAACGTCAGGTAACCACTTACTTTTACATGTTATCCCCTCCGTCCTGAAATAATCCTCCATATCTCTCTCTCTCTGTCTGGGTAATCGTTCAGAGGTTTAAAGAAGGACAGGCAGGTAGGAGCTGCTTTTAGAGCACTGGCTGAGGAAGTCGGAAAATACAAATTGATTTGTTGTCTCGGCAGGTGTGTGTGTGTGTGTGTGTGTGTGTGTGGTGTGTGTGTGTGTGTGTGTGTGTGTGTGTGAGTGAATGTGAGAGGAAAGGTTTCCGTCATCTTCCTGCCTGACTGTCTCCACCTAGCGGTCGTAACTAGCAACTACAAGCAGGGAGAGTTTTTATGTTTCTGGTTCTTGCCCTCACTGTCCTAAATAAAACGCAACAGTGCACACAAGAAACCTATTGTTGAGTCATGAGGCTTTCTTGAAAAAGGATAGGGTTTCTAAAAAGAAAATAATAATTAAAGCCAGTATGTTTAGGCAAAATGATGAAGTGTTGATCAAGGTTTTTTGTGTGTTTTGTGCTGTTGTGACTGATACATCATTTGATGATCTTCTTTTGAATAGTATAAAAAATATGTATAATTTAGGACTCCTATAAGATCATTATTCTTTCTGCTCTTTTTCATTCACGATTTGAGATTTTTGTTTGACTTTTTTTGTCGATGATAAAATTAACATATATAAATAAATGAATACATATTCCCTTTAATGTTAAGTTTTTGGAACCACTGATATTTTTTGGGTTCCGTAGGCCTGATCTAGTTTTTGTCATTATAACTGTCTTATTTTAGTGAGCAAGCAGCCTGTTTCTTACCGTTAATTCTGTAAGATGTATATTATGTATATATTGCTTATTTTTTCAACTCTCTGCGCCTTTGTACGTAACTTATTTCTTTAATAATCTGCACTTTATACATACATTATTTTTCATTAATATGTACTTGGTACACAGCTGTATTTATTTAACACTCTTACTTGTACTTATTGCTTTAAAGAAAGTACTTTTAGTACTTCTCTTACTGAAGAACTATAACTTTGTAAATTATTTGATTTCTACCTAAATTGTTGAAAAATGAAGCCAATGTGGAAGTGCAAAATCCTGCAGTCCATCAAGGGTCCACTTGAGGCTGGCTGCAGGACAACCGGAAATCATATACACACCACATAACAAAATTGTCATCACTGGCACACTCTGTACGGGGGTGATTTTTTTTTTTGACACATCCAATTTTGATTTTATGAACGATAGTAGTAAGGAACGAAGCTGACATGATTGACAGGTGGGCGTGATGTAACGGTTTGTCGGGATTTTAAACCCGCCTCAGCTCCACCTCTCAGCCTGTCGTTAGGTTGACTGAAAGTATTTACAACATTGAGGCTGCTGCCGATGAGCCTCCAGAGCCCCCCGCAGGAACAGCTGTCACTCAGGCCTCATACATTAATATTTACAGTCTGAGATTTTCAACAAATGTCACCTGTTTTTTCTTTTGCATGTTGCACTGTAAAAAAGCAAAGACGTCTGGATTTCTTTATTGAAATATTTTAATTAAAGAAAAAGATGAATACAGTTAATTTCAGTTTCAGACCACAGGCATTTATACACGCTCATGCAGATCAAGGAGATTTTGAAAGGAAATGTCTCCCTCTAGTGGATCCAAGTTGTAACACTGTAAAGTGAACAGTGAGCCTCATTCACCAACTGTTCTTAAAAACAAATGTGTTATTTATTTATTTAGTCAAAACAGAATAGCAGATTAACTAAGTATTTGTTCTTAATATTTTGTTGCCTTTGTGGTAAAAACTTTATTAACAGGACTATTGCGTCATGTAGAGTAGAAAGTAAATGTCTCCCTCTAGTGGACTTAAGTTGTAACAGTTTAAAGTGGTCACCCTGCTTGTTATTTCTCAAACAAACTTTCTCTCCTCATACAGATTCAGTACACTATACATCAACTCAATGAAACATTTACACGACCAAAAATTAAATTAACACTAAAGTAAACATACAAAACATGAGAAGTTATTTTAACATCTCTTACAGAAACTCATTTAAATACATCACCTTCCTCCTTCACTTCTACAACAAATATCCAGCTCTTTGAAACATAAATATCAAAAACTGTGAGGTCTTCTGAATCAGAAAATAAACTTTTACAGCCACTTGAAAATACATTTTAAAGAACACTTTCACAACAAAATATTAAAAACAACCGTACAAAGAGTGAATGAGTACAAACACAGTGTTCATTAAGGTTATCAAAATATTAACATTCGAGATGATTTCACATATCCTTCATCAGCATCAAATTTTGATTTTTTTTTTTGATTTTGATATCCTTTATTTTGAGGGAAATTCAGTTTACACTCTTTTATTTTATTGGGACATGCTTCTCACACACATAGGCCCGAATCACACGCATGCACAAACAGGACCTGTGAACATGCATTGGTGGAGAGATGTCAGAGTGGGGCTGCTACAAGCTGCTAACCAGAGAGCGCACCAGAGCAGTTGGGGGTTCAGTGCCTTGCTCAAGGGCACCTCGGCAGTGCTTGGGAAGTGCCCTGGTACCTCTCCAGCTACCAGACCAACTTCTGGATTTGGTCCGCACCGGGACTTGAACTGGTGACCCTCCTGTTTCCAAACCAAGTCCCTATGGACTGAGCTACTGCCGCCCCCAAAATGACAAATTAAATGTACAAACTCTCATTGAATCATTGGTGGGGATGGCCTTCCGCACTGGACCGCCTTCTGTTTGTCCCGAACCTTCGCCTTGCGTCTCCCTCTATCACATTTTTCAAGCCCAGCGCAGTTGCAGCACTTCTGCCTCTTAAAGGAACTTATAACTTTGCTAAATGTTATGTTGGGTCTTTGTAATATAAAAAATAGATATGTCTTTTAGCTGCTTTTTGGAAAAGTGTCTTGAGATAATATTTGTTATGAATTGGCGCTATACAAATAAAAATTGAGTAATAGATACATTTGTGAATCTACAATAAATATAGGAATCTACCTGGATTGTTTGCATGTTTTCATTAACTGTACATTAAAGGCAGGGTTGGTAATTATTGAAAACTAGCATGATTTTGAAAGTAGCATTCCCTCAGTGCCCCGTCTGCACCCACCCCCTCCCCTCTGTGCTCCCTCTAAAGCCACGCCCCTCACTTACATGCACAAGCGTCATTGGTGCAGAAGCGTAGCTCAGCTTATGCTTTGAGTGTTGGCTCGTGCATGCATTGGTCAGAGAACGAGCAGGGAGACAGGGAGGCTTGATTGGTTCATCAGATTGGTACCTCGTGGCAGACATTGGTTTAAGTTTTTACATGCTTACAACTGCTACAGGTGACAGATTTCTTTTGTTCCTTTTTCAGAGCACATGAGTTATTAATGTCTCTCAGGACCTAAAGACAATTTCGACCAAAATCTTTAAAAAAGTCTATCAGGAGAAAATGACCAACCCTGCCTTTAAATACTTCTATATAAATGGGACCCAGCTTTAAATAATTAAAGACTGGCAGTCTTTTTTGGCGGGTGTCACAGGCATCAGGTATCTTACTCTCTTCCAGAAGCGAGAGTTATATGCGGAAGCGCCTCGCGAGTCTTCTGGCCACTTGATGGGGGCGCTCTTGTGAATGAGGTGCTGCAGGCCCGGAGGAAGGTGTGCGTATCCCTCTGGCCCCATGTCCCCCAGCTGGATCAGAATTACATTCATTTCCCTCTGGACCAGCGCGTGATGGAGCCCCACCTGGGACATCAGCAAAAAAAAGTATTCAAATGATTTAAAGGAAGAAAATGTGATTTTTCACACTTAAATGTAGCAGAAATCAAATATATCCTCTGAAAATAACTCTGTGAGTCATGACTGTCTACAATGAGTGTGACACGAGCTTTCCAAGCTTTACGAGCCGTAGCTTCACTTTGTTTACATCGTCGGGACGGCCGGCCAGCTAGCTCATCCCCTCCCGTATAAAAGTTGTTTAATTGAGGGACTAGAGAAAAGAAGAATAACATACTGTACTCACTGCTTATTTGAATGTCATGTAAGTGTTTTTAGATAACGGTCATTTTGTGTAAATTGACATGCAGTGTGAATATATGATCAGACTAAGTTGTTTTGATTTCATGCTGGTGCTAAAGAGCGACATCTACTCGATCAAAAAGTTGCATATTCCTCCTTTAATTATTATAAATTGATTGCTGCTGACCTCTCGCAGTAGTAACAAATGATTAGTTTCAACCGCAACATTTAGTTTTGTGCTCAAATTATCTGTAAATAATCCTTTGATTGTGCGTTTAATTTAATTTAAATTAAAAAATACTGACTTAGTTGCCAACGAATTGAACCAGGAATCAGACTTGAATAAATAACAATAAATTCAGCAGGTCCAAGCTAACAGTGTGTAGTCGTTCCTTTGTTTACTTACGTTATAAAACATATCATCTCTCAGGGGAACAGCAGCAGATTGCAGTCACAGTGTGATGGGGTTCAGATTTCATTTTCTGTTTTGATGTAGATCTTGTGCAACATAAGTAATGTGTTCAGAGTCCAAGACAGTTTTCCCTAAGCTGACAATTAAGTGTAATGAACGGTGTTCCCTTCGTACCTGCCAGTCGAAACCTCCGATTACTGAGTTCTGAGGCGAGGTGGGACTGGATTCTGATCCTGAACCCGGGGTGAGGATGACCATCAGCCTCCTGCTCTGATTCATGCGGTCCTCCACCAGCTCCAGACGGTCTGAAAACATGTACAAGAAGTTATTTGTGTGTTGTTTCACAAATGTTTCCTTAAACTGGTTCCAGATCAGGAACCTTTGATTTTGTTGTTGTGGTACCACATCTTCAGGCTCTTAAAGTCCTATGATTCAATACCTAAACCGCCACCCAAAGGAGAAAAAAGTAAGCTATGAACGTAAAGGCAAGGCTGCGGGTTCAAGGAACATTTTTATTGCTACCATGACATCATTGTGTCTTCATTTTTGGTCTGCAAAACAATTCAGTCATTCAGACTTAGTAATACAAACCGTCTGAAAGATATCATTTCCTTGTGGTTGTGTTTTCGAAATATTTTAAATAGGAAGAAAGAGCGATGAAGATGGATTTGAACATTTGTGTTAGTCGTCACAAACTGCAACACTTGTAGGCCTATGTACAGATTTAAAGTATATTTAGCACTAATGCATATTCATGCAGGCTGCTTGATTACACAGGGGAGAGAGATAGAAGGAAGACTTTCTTTTCTTGGTCACCCTGACAAAGACCAGAATCTTATCAAAAACCTTAACTTCTTGCAGTTTGTGGTTGAAAAAACAGACATGTAGTCAAAACTGTTTCTGATTTGTCACCTTTAAGTTACTGAAAGTTTTGAGACTGCAGTGAGGATCATTTTGTCTACATAAATGATATTGCTGTAGAAATACTGACAGAACTTCTGGGCCCAGTTGTTCCAAAGTGAACTGATCGGTTGAAATGATTGGATCACATCCAGAAAATGGTTTAATAGAAATAAAAGAAGGGGGAGGGGGGTTACAACAGTGGGTAAAATCAAATAATCCAATCTTGGTTTTTATCTGAAATTCGGCTTCAGATTTATTTATAGGCTCTTGTGGAGAGTGGATAGAGTGAGAAATCAGGAAGAGCGAGAGTGGTAATGACATGCGGAAAAGGAGCCACAGGTGGGATTCGAACCCAGGCCGCCCACTTCAAGGACTACAGGCTCTATACTTGGGGCTCGCAAAAAAACGACCACTCAGCCACCGGCGCCCAAAAACTTGAGTTTGTATTGTTCAAAACTTCTCAGTAGGATTGGGATGACTTTGACCAAAAAGAAAATTGAGATAATCCTAATCAAAGAAGAGAGTTGAATTCAGGCAAGGTTACAGGAATAAAATTGAATAAAAGTTGTAAGTACTAAAACTAAAAAAGGCAATTTCTACGATGATGTTGAACCCTTTTCATTCGAAACAAAGAGGGGAACTCATATTGATGGACACATGTCTTTAAAACATATTCAAACAACTTAATTTGGACTTGTTTGTCCAAAATATAAAAAAAATAAAAAATAACTGTAATGCTGACCTTCTCCAGGTATGTCATCCCTCCCCTGGATAAAAAGTCGATATCCACACTTTTCCTCGAGGACGGAGGGCAAATTCTTTGTGACAAAAAGACTGAATGTGTCTTCAGAGGGATTGTCCAGGTTCTGTGTTTGATAAACTACGTAGGCATCGAAGACCCTCCCATCTGAAAAAAATACAAACAAATTCATGATATTTATTGACAAATTATAACTGTTTCTTACGGCCTTATGGATAAACCCTGTCCATGTAGAATTATTCATGGGGCATGAGTCTTATTTTTTCTAGGTTTCAAGCTTCTGACAGTTTTTTTCCTCAGCTAAGACCGTTGTGACCCACCCTGTAAACACACCCTTCTTTTTAAAGTCAGTGACCAATGAAGACGCCCTGTTCAGTTCACTCTCTGTTTTGCTCTTTGTCTACAGAGCTGAAGTCCTATTGGCAGGTTAATCAGTGGTATTGGGTTCCCACACATCTAGGCCTTGTTTGCACCATGCATGTGACCAAGAGCAGCTCCCAGTCCTTGCTGCAGAATTCCTCAAAATGTAATTTTGGGTTCGCTTTCTTTTCTTTCTTTTTTTAAAATCAAAAAACATCCAAACAGCTCAACCTCTCACATGACTCGGCTTTAGAGATTCTTTACATCTCCTTTTCCCTAAAAGTTTTGGTGGTTAAGTTGTGAAAAATAAGCTTCTCTATTTAGCACATCTGTATGCTTCATTTAAAAGCCGAGCTGTGCCATTAAAAACAGATTGCTGGACAAACCCAAGGAGGAAATTATTCTGGAAAAATCGGGCGTTGCTCTCTTCCTGTGTAAATCAAATGCTACAGAAGTGCACATTGTAGTTTGTGTTAGTTTTATTTGAACTCAAGGTAACCTCACCCATGTGTGTTTTTTTTAAAAAGGCACATGCCAGGAAAAGCTTGTGTCATTGTCCCATTGTTTTAAAAACACAAGAATTATTCTCCCTGGTTAGACACATTGTCTCAGTGATTAATAGTGCTGTCAGTAATTATGTCTATTTTATGTCTATTTGCTTTGTAAGATGGGCCAGAATGTGTAACCAAAACCATTAGGGTTGGAGTAATTCAAAACTATGTACAAATACTTCCACAATTCATGAAAGACAATTCTATTGGAAATGTTTTGGGGTTTAGCGGCTAACTTAACCGCTAGCTTCAAGAAGTAGGGTTACCTTTATTCTGGATCCAAATTTAAAGATTTTTTACAGAAGTTGTGATCCAGACTTTGAATTAGCCTACTACAACCCAAACCTGCAAACTAACTTTGATTTGCAAAAGAGGGATTGTTTCCTTAGAAGTACCTGATTCATTTAGCTTAGCATAAATCTAGGGGAAATGGGGGTAAAGCTACTGTAGACTTGAACTGTCCAAGCTTTACTAAAAACACAACTTCATGAACATGAACAGAAATGTAAAAGTATGGTGGTGCTACACACTGTTATTTAGAGCAAAAGAAATAATGAGAACACCTTACAAAATTGTTCACGTTTTCTGACTTCTCCTCCTTACCTTTATTGTTAAGAGCAAGTGTGAAGTACGGTCTGAAGAGGAGAGCGAGGTCAATGGCAAAGTACTTAATCAGTACGGCGGCAAAGACGCAGAAGAACAACACACTCAATGCTCCAATGATAAGTGGAGTTTTAGACTCTAGGAAACAAACACAAAATGATAAAAAGGGAGGTTTAAAAGGAAGAATTTAGCACATTCAAGAAAAAAAAAAAACTTTCAATATTCACATTTAAAAATAAATATAAGGACAGACACAACAAATGATTGCAGCAGTTTTTCTCAGATGTCATGCATTCTGATGACTTTGTTCCAGGTAGACTTTGCAAATAAAGAAAAAATAGGTATTCAAAAAAGTCATTGTCATCTCACTGCTTCCTGAGTGATCAAAAACTGAATAGATGAAAATTACACAGACATCAGGCCATATTTAAAGTTAAAACAATCTATTTTTTAAATCAATTCAATATGAGACATAGGAGCTTCTCCGGCCCCGGAAAAATGTGTCCATGATCGCATTACACACTACCACCCAAAAGGAGTCAGCAGAGGGATACGTCCCATGAACTGAGGCATATAGAGTGAGTCATGCAGCGTCACCGGATCAGACGGATTGACAGTTTATAAAGATGGATCAGAGCAGCAGTTTTCTGTGAGTTTTGTCTCCACAAGTGTATGCCCGTAAGTAAAAGTGCATATGGTGTTGTTTGTTGAGTATGTGAAGCAACATAGATTGTTACCTCAGTCAAAATAATGAAGATGCAAATTTTGTTAGCCAGTTAATGGCATTTTTCAGTATGTGTTGACATCAAGGTAATGAACTGAGATATACTTTCTGGTCTTTCTGTGAGAAATAGTGCCCACTCCCCCCTGAGAACAATTCACCAGCTGCCACTGCTTCTATTTAACTTAACTTTTAGCTAGACTGTTAGCTAAAATGACAGCTAGCTTACATGACTCTTATCAAGGAATATATGCCCTAAATGCCAGGTCCTAATGGCACTGTTGGCAAGTAAATGGATGAATGCTAATGTGGTCTATCTGTAGTAAATAGGCTGTCAGATCTGTTTTTAACTTTAGTCATACAGCTTCTTTCTTTCCATTGTTTTTTTTTTAAGTTAACATTTTGTAATTACAGCAGTAGCTACATTAGCATTTGAGCTTTTCAGCCATGGAGCGTGATGTGCGATGAAAAGAGCTGTTTGCATTTGATAGAAAATAATCAATGATTTTCTCACTCACCTTTCGGCTTCAGAGTTAAAGTTGCACTTGCTGGTTCGAAACCTCCATGACCTGTACATGTAAATTCAGCCAGGAAATCTTTAGCAGAAACTCTTTTGATGGTCAGGATTGCAGTGACAGTCGTACCATCTGCAGGCTCCTCTCTAACAAAGGACACAGGGTTTACATCAATTAATTGATGTTAGGTACAAGGGGTGAAGTCGTCTCTCAACCGGAAGGTCTGGGGTTGGTATGTGTCCTCCGGCAAAACACTTAACCCCAAGTTGCTCCTGCTGCTTTGGTGGCGGCGTATTAATGTGTATGAGTGGATTAATATTGATGGTCTTTCCATAGCAGCATCTGTACTCAATAAACAAGTGATTCTATGTGCTTGGTTCCACTTGATTTTGAATTATGAATGCTTGTGAATGTGTGCACTGTTCATTATAATGCAACATTCACAACAGGGCTCCAAGTCTCTAACAAGATGCACTTAATTAAATTATTGATGACGATGATGATGACGATGGTTTTGTTGGATAATCATGATTCTAGGATGGTTTTGATGAATAATCATGATTTTAGGATGGTTTTGATGCTGATTAGAACTCTCTAGAACAGCTGTCGATGTTGTGCTTTGCCTTTGAGCATTGCCTGTCGGCACCTGTGTGGCCGATCGAACTTAAAGCTGTTCATTTGCACTTACAGTACTGACGTTGTTTCCTCTTTTCTAGATCGTTGCTTGTGTTGTTCTTACTCTCTGATGTACACTGCTTTCGATAAAAGCGTCTGCTAAATGAATTGTGGAATTATAGAATTGTATAGTTATGCCTAAATGTAACATTTGTTGTCCATTTCAAACACTATGTTAGTACGTTGTGTGATATCTTGTCTTGCATATCTTTTGTTAATTGGTCTTACCTTTTGGTGGTGAGATTGTATCCATCAATCTGACTGATAGGGCTCCCATCAATTCGCCAGGTAGCTTGGCAGTCATTTCCCACATTTTTTCCACACAACACTGAGCAGTTCAGCTTGATCTCAAGTCCTGAATAAAATTAAAAATTAAAAGAATCAAGAGAGACCCTCACCCTTCATTGGCTTTACCATACTGAAAAGTTTAACAGCGCTTTATTAGTCTCCAATATATCATTTAACTCTGTCCTGCTTTGTATTGAAAGAGGCCATTTAAATCTCTGGGATAAATTACATGAACAAGAAAAAAAAGCCAAACAATACTGCTACGGACAGATCTTTGTTTTTTATTTTCTTTCTTAAGTTAATATAAGAGCTGGTTGGGAACAGGAGGTACTGCAGCTATGTCTGATTGGCTCAGGGAGGCTGAAGATGGTGTTTGTCAGATCGCCGCGACATGACACTTTCACCAAGGTCCAGAGCCAAGCAACAACTGAGAAAGCATAGCTGCCTTGTTGTCACTCGCCTCTTGTTTGCAGACCAGCTCCTAGTTTATTTTATGTATTCCATCTTGATTTATTTTTCAGATAACAAGAGGTGTTCTACACTCATTTTCCTGAAACCTTTGACCAAAGTGAGCTATGATAAGTGCAATTAGCCCCCAGAAGTCTGACAAACCCTTAAATGGACAGTTAATTGAATCAATCTCTGTACATTCAATAAATTGTCTCTGTACAGTAGTTTGTGCAGAAGACTTTTGATACTGCCTGGACAACACCTTGCTTGCACATTACAACTTTTACAGCTCTTTTCATTCATCAAAGACAAGACAAAGCATGTAATCTTTCTTATGTTTACTAAATGATTTAACATTTTTGACAGTGGGAGTACAGCTTTTCACTTTGATAACTCATTTTTATTCCATTCTGATGTTTATCATAATCCACCAGTAACACAATTTTTCAAATCACTCACTTGACTTTTTAGTGAATCCTAATGAAAGTTACCCAAGCACCTACAATTCTTCCTTGATTCAGCTAGGTAGAGTACACTTATAACCATTTAAATATATCTTATTAAAACAACACAAACACTCGTTATCAGTCAGACAAGCTAAGATGTTAGTGGTTTAGTCAAATCATGAATCGTCTTATTTGCTTTAAGATTATTAAGATTAACTTTATTGATCCCGCAAGGGGAATTTCTGTTTTTACACTCTGCAAGTCATGCAACACACACACAGGCTGAAATAGATACACATGCACAAACAGGATCCTGTGGACATGCACTAACGGAGAGATGTCAGAGTGACGGAGATGGTTTAGTCAAATCATGAATCGTCTTATTTGCTTTAACAAAATCATGGTGTTCATACCTTCATCTGCAAACTGCTCCTTGTTGGCTGGAGAGAGGATTTTGGGTGGTTTCACGACAACTTGATCTGAATGGAAGAAAGGTAAAAGCCATCAACAAATGCACTTTTATATTTTGTTCCAGCCATGCCATGCCCGGTGGTGACTGAACCATTTCAGGCATGGTGTATTTCTTACTCTCAGGTTTACTTTATGTTGTAGGCTGTTTGTTGCAAATTCCACACAAATAATTGTACCAATAGAGCCAGCTAAGAAATTATTTTATTTAAATATTGAAGAGGCCAATATGTGGACAAGTTTTTTAACCCTCAAGCTTGACAACAATAAGGATTAGACGGTGATGGCATCTGAATCTCCTTCAGAAAATTCCAATGGGTTTTTATCCCAACAGTTGCTCACATTGTAGTGTTGGTAAGTAATGTTTTACATAAAACGGTCTGTTGGTTAGGGTAAGTTTAGTGAAAACTTCATCTGTGTTTGAAATATTAAAAAAGACTTTCTGGTTTCACAAGTGAAAGTTCCTAGGACACTTGAGTATCATTTTCTGTTTGTTTTTTGACCCATCCACATCAGCTCCCACTACAACCCCCAATGGACTTCATTGGTCCTACAGTTATATTACCCAGGTCAGTTGGTCTGAGTGTCTAACATCGCAAAAAACAAGTTAACAAGCTGGTTGCATGTCATTCAGACGCTTTAGGATACAGAGTGGGTCTGTATAAAAAGCCAAGGACAGCACCAAGGCCAGGTTGTTAAAAAGGTTTAATCTTGATAGGAATGTTTGGGATTTGGAAACCCCCATTTATGCTCTCCAGGATCAAGTAATCAACCTCGCCTTTGTCCTTGTAATTGATTTTCTTTATTTTCACTGGAGATGCATTAATCCACATTAAATGAAGGTTGGTCATAGCTGCTTTAAAATAAATACGTTGTTATTGATGCTATTGGGTGAATCATGTAAAGAAGGAAAAATTCTTAACATTTAGAAAACCTGATGTCAACTTTTCAACCATGTCACTGTAGCACGACAGCATGATGTGCAAAAAAGTTTAAAGATGTCACGTTATCCTGAACAGCGTTGTCGTCTCTTATGAGTTAGAAGATATTTGAAAGTTAATGAGATCACTAAGTGTCTAAAAGGTATCTTTTCAAATGTATTTGTTTATGGGGAGAAAGTGTTTTCCAAGCTGATCATGTATGCAGGTCTTGTGTTTTCCACATAACACCAGCCCCTACACTAAAAAATCTAATCTCAAAGCAGAAAACATCCAACACCATTTTTGCTTTTTCCGTTCATCCAACCATTTAAAAGGGTGCAAGAAGACAAACAAAGCAGACTTCAAGTGTTTGAGGGGTAAGCATTTATTGACAATGGTTTCAATAGTGTGTGCAGTAACTTAACAAAGCACATCAAAAGTAAGTAAGTAAGCCTTTACAGGCTTTACAATTACTGTAACACACTGACTGCCGCAGAGTGCACCCTCGCCCAAGAAGCGTGTTCTGCATTATTGTTAATATAAGGAAATCAAACAGATTATTATATGAACATTAACTCATTCACATGAATAAATGTCATTTATTTTTAAGAAAAAACCCCAACCCCGAACCACCTCAACTGACTCCTTTTGATACAATGGAGTCGCAGCTCTTCGACTTTAGTATTATCTTTAGGATAAAAACAAAGCCTATAGATGGTCGGGCAGAACTGGCTTGGCAAGACACTGTACCACACGTGTGCTGTTAATTAATTTCTCCTCACGAGTATTATATAAACTTCTTCAACTTAAGCCATCTGATTCTCCTCAACAGATAACTACAGGAAAGAAAATACTGCCTAACCACAATTCTTCTGCGAGATGCTATCTGCTCACTGTGCTTGTTTACATCCTGGGTGGTAGAGCGAGGAGAGCGTACCATTAACTGGAGCTACAGCCCCGGTTAGTGGCGGTTGGCGGGCAGCCAACCGCCACTAACTCAGTTCTTTGAACCGACTCTTTCTTGGGCCTACTGAAGAGGGTAATGATGTTTAACACATGTATTATTTGGGTCAGTGAGTCATCATCTAGCAGGTAAGCTAACCAAAAAACTGCCCTCCTGCTCTGTTAAATTGCCATTCCCCTGACTTGTAAATACGTAAAATAAAAACGTCTCACCTTCAACTTCTAGCTTTCTGGAGCCGGACGTCTTGTACTCCTTCTCATGATGTTTCCAGGTACAAACACACGTGTAGATGCCCTCTTGACTTTTGTCAACGTCCATAATCCACAGCTGAACGTCTTGTTCGTCTGGGAAAATATTGGAGTCCTTGATCGCAGGCAGGAGGGGCCACAAATGTAGGGAAGGAAAAGAAAAGGGAAAGAGGTTAGCCTTATGCAATGTAGAATCAGGATAGAAGATGGAGAGTGTTAGGGCATTTAAACATTTAGATACCTTCATGCTCCTTTTAGTTCATGTTCCTCTAAACAGAGCTGTCGGTTTACATGTCAGAGAGCTTACCCCTCTAAACTGATGTTCAGTCAGGACCACTTTGTCAAGAAGGATACTTTGACGCAATTATTTAAATTTGGCGGTATGTCTCTGGGAGGGATCTCCCTGCCCTTCCACACGCTTAGGTGGAAACCATTAGGCAGGAACAGCACACAATTTGCCCTTCCCATGCATACAAGGAAAGCTCTGATGCAGGGAGATGAGCAGAAAATCCCAACATGACAAGCATGACATTGATTAAGTCAGAATAGCAGAAAAGGAGGAGCTGGGGAGGAGGAGGCACGCAAATGCGTTTGCAAATGAGGCTTGCAGAGGGAGTAGCAAAGAGTAGGCAGGCTAGAGCAGTTTAAATAATGCGGCATATGTACTATTTGGCCAATAGGACGCTTTGAAGCAAATCAGGTGGCCATCAGCTGACACGGCTTGCGTGAGATAAGCTGTTACCGAAACTCTGATAACAGAGCGTGACTCTGTGGCCTGCCTGAACTTGTGCTACGCTCCATTTCTGTTTGCTTATCACTTCCTTTATTCAAAATTATATGGAAACATATTTTCCCCTGAAGTTCAGAGGAAGGAGTATGTTACGAGGTACTCCTTACGTGGAAAAATGAAGTGCTCAGTCAACCGTACACACCAATGTATGAACAAATATAAGAGGGAACAAAAGATTAACGTAGGTGTTTCTCAGAAAAAGAAGAATCATTGTCAAAAACTTCATGAACTGTCATTTCCCTAACCCTTTTCTGGAGAGAGAAAGTAGAAAAAGAATCACTTAGTAAATGTCTTAATACATATATGTTATTGTTTTATTAATTTAGTGTGGTTTAACAGTTACTTACATCCCTACAGCTAGTTTTTTTATTACTGTGTTAAGTGCTTTGGACAAGTGGACCAGTTAACCCACTCACTCCTGGCTGACTCCCTGGTGATCAGGGGTGGCTGAACAAAGAGGAACCTTGACCAGATCCTGAGGTGAGACATAATCAGTGTGTAAGGAGGTTCTAGGATCACATAGGAAGACTCAGGTGTTTTGGGTTTGGGCACAGCCTGTTTATTGCCGCGGACCGTATAAATAACAATAATCATGAACAGTTCGCAGCTCTCCGACAGCCGAGGGGCACAACGAGGAGGGGTGGGCCTCGGCCCTCATCGACCTGCTTTATTGACCTTTGGCCAATCAGTGTCAGGAAAACCAAAAAAAAGTTTGTTCAGCTAAAAAGACCTGACAGGCGGAGACATGGCTGTTTCTTTGATTGATTGAGAGCAGAGGGCCCAATGTTTGGAGGGTGGGCCTCAGCCCTCGGTAATCCTTCTATCTGTATGGGCAAATTAGTCACCACTCCACCCAAAAACCACCATATCAACGAACAAAAAAAAAACGGGCCGCCGACCCACCGGGCAAAAGTATTAGGTATTTGCTGTACAAGCAAAGAGAACAGTGTGCAAACATGGCAAAGACTAATGAATGACAGAAAAAGCAGAACCAACATGTCGTACCATGTAAAACAGTGCTGGGTTGCGAGGCTCGAGAAACTAAATATTACGCTGGGAAGCAAATGTGAAAACCACCTCACCCTAACTAGTACAAGAGATTGCTGCGTGCATTTGTGTTTAGGCTTATAATGAACATGTTGGAGACCATTTTTATGACCCGCTTTTTCAATAAACATGAAATTAAAACTGAGGTGACACTAAAGTCAGCTGTGGAGATCAGCGTCTTTTTAAAAGCTCTCTGTGCTCTAATGTCAGAAACTTCGACTGCACCTAAAACCCTTTGTTTATTTTAAGTATTTTGAAGGTCTTGTGCTCGAATCGGATGTTTGTTGCTATCTCTACACACCACAATACAGCGGCAAGCAGTTGAGGCTGATGGAGGAACAGGAGGCAGCAGCCGAGGCACAAGACCTGCCTGTCGGCGGCGCTTTGGGCGAGGAAACAGGGCCGGCTCGAGTTTGGGCGGAGGTGTGCATTCTGGGAGTTGTTGTCTTTCATCCACATGAGCCAAAAAGTCACTTTCTGCCTTTTCTCAGTCAAGAAGGCACCAACTTCAAAATGTATTTCACATTTCTACTACATATATGACCAAATGTCAATACAGATTCATGTTTCAACAGGTGAAGTATCCCTTAAACCTCAACATTAAAAAGTAACGCTTAAAAAGACAAACAAGAACAAGACTATTGTGCATTTTCATAGTGAGAGAATTGAAAAAAACTAATAGTTTAACTTAATTTCTTTATAAACATTTTGAAAATCGTACTGAATTCGTATCATTAACCCAGTATCTTGATACATATTGTATGGTAAATTGATTCAATCGCTACATCCCCCGTCTCCCTTGAAACGTTAAAACTGTTAATCAAAGTGTTCATACCTTCTCCCACAAGAGTTTTCCTCCGAATACACTACACGTCTCTTTGACGTTATCTGGACACGGGATCTTTCTGTTTTTGGAACCTCCGCTGACTGTATGAAAGAGGACTTCTGTGTTTGCATGGCTTTTGTCGAAGACCACGAGTTCTAAGTGATAGTTTAAACACTCTCCCGAGCTGGTTCTATGCCTGAAAAAGAAGCAGAAGTTCTCTCAGGCACTTTGTTTACAGCAGCACTTCTCATGATCAGAGCATCACATGAAATTCATTCTTAACTGAAGTTGAGTTTACTTACTGGGCAGTGTAAAATCCAGAGTCCTCGATTTGAAGGTTTAGGAAAAAGAGAGCCCCTCCGTGGTAATGCACCATTCTGTCCTCGTTGTTTGAGATTTCCTCTGAGTTATTTTTGTGCCATGTGATGTTTTCATCTGGGATATTTCCGTCCATTAGAACATAAGGCAGGAAATAAAACGCTTCACCTTCATGTTGGTGAAATATTTCATTGTCCATGTCATTACATTGGAGCTCGTCTGTGTCTAAAATTGAGGGACAAAACACAGAGGGTGGTGTTAATAAATAATCCCGTATGTTGTGCATTCATGGGTGTGTACATGTGCACAAATACAATGATTGCGATTGTTACAACATTGTACGGCTTCAGTCCAAAATAATGAAGAACAGAGTCAAGCTTGGAATGACCAAGAGAAAATGTTTAGAAAAATATTTTCTATAATACATGAGAGAAGGTGTTCATCCTGCAATAGTACATTCATAAGAGATCCTTAAATATGAGATAACACATCAAATGTTTAAATGGAGGGGGGGGGGGGTTGATGCCGACCGCACGTTTAAAAAAAGTGGCAACACAAGAATGGAAAAACATTTTTTGTAATATGTCTTTGTGCTGTTTTTAATTAAATAAGGGGGTTTCACTATTTAGCAAATCTTCACATTCTGGTCTCTTTATTCAAATTTCACAAGACGTCCCCCAACTCTTCAAGATAAAAAACACACTTTAGTCCGTCCAGTGACACTCAATCATTTCTAACTTTCCTCCAAATTTTCACTTTACTGTGAGTTGGTTTCTTCATAAAAAGGTGCAAACATCTTTGCTTTTTAAAAAAGAGACTTAAATGTGCACTGCTCCTTTAGTTAAATAGAAATAACTCTGTGCATTTGTTAGAACGCGGGCTGTAAAATGTGACAACATGAGATATTTATTAAATGATAAATGTCTATTGTCATCTTTTGCTTTTGTCATCATAAATCATGGGCAACATAAATGAAGCACCGTCAAATTAAGGGCAAAATCTGTCATCAGTCATACCACTGATTGCTTCCTCATGGCACAGAGGAAGACAGAAAATTTGAATGAAGGCAAATAAAACAAATATGGAGGGGACTGAAATGAGGAACTGACAAAGAAGAGGATAAGGACTTCACAAAATGTTGCTGATTGGAAAACATTAAGGAGAACAAGATGAAGAATGAGATGTTATCTGTGTTGGTTGTCCCTGTATACAGTAACTCAAAATGTAAATAATGACAAAAAGTAATGTGTAACTGTAAAGGGATTTCTGTTTCTGATTTCTAATTTAAGAGTTGGTTGGGAACAGGAGGTACTGCAGTTATGTTTGATTGGCTCAGGGAGGCTGAAGATGGTGTTTGTCAGATCGCCGCGACATGACGCCTTCACCAAGGTCCAGAGCCAAGCAACAACTGAGAAAGCATAGCTGCCTTGTTGTCACTCGCCTCTTGTTTGCAGACCAGCTCCTAGTTTATTTTATGTATTCCATCTTGATTTATTTTTCAGATAACAAGAGGTGTTCTACACTCATTTTCCTGAAACCTTTGACCAAAGTGAAATATGATAAGTGCAATTAGCCCCCAGAATTCTGACAAACCCTTAAATGGAAAGTTAATTGAATCAATCTCTGTACATTCAATAAATTGTCTCTGTACAGTAGTTTGTGCAGAAGACTTTTGATACTGCCTGGACAACACCTTGCATGCACATGACAACTTTTGCAGCTCTTCTCATTCATCAAGACAAAACATGTAATCTTTCTTATGTTTACTCAATGATTTAACATTTTTGACAGTGGGAGTACAGCTTTTCACTTTGATAACTCATTTTTATTCCATTCTGATGTTTATCATAATCCACCAATAACACAATTTTTCAAATCACTCACTTGACTTTTTAGTGAATCCTAATGAAAGTTACCCAAGCACCTACAATTCTTCCTTGATTCAGTTAGGTAGAGTACACTTATAACCATTTAAATATATCTTATTAAAACAACACAAACACTCGTTATCAGTCAGACAAGCTAAGATGTTAGTGGTTTAGTCAAATCATGAATCGTCTTATTTGCTTTAAGATTATTAAGATTAACTTTATTGATCCTGCAAGGGGAATTTCTGTTTTTACACTCTGTAAGTCATGCAACACACACACAGGCTGAAATAGATACACATGCACAAACAGGATCCTGTGGACATGCACTAACGGAGAGATGTCAGAGTGACGGAGCTGCCCACAGCGGGCGCTCCTGAGCTGATGGTGGGTGGGGGGGTTTTGTGCCTTACTCAAGGGCACCTCAGCAGTGCTCAGGAAGTGATCTGGCACCTCTCCAGCTACCAGACCCTCCGGTTCCCAACCCAACTCCCTACAGACTGAGCTACTGCCGCCCTTAATGATGTGCAAAAAATGTCACGTTATCCTGAACAGTGTTGTCGTCTCTTATGAGTTAGAAGATATTTGAAAATTATTGAGATCACTAAGTGTCTAAAAGGTATCTTTTCAAATGTATTTGTTTATGGGGAGAAAGTGTTTTCCAAGCTGATCATGTATGCAGGTCTTGTGTTTTCCCCAGAACGCCATTCCCTACATTTGAAAAAATCTAATCTCAAAGCAGAAAACATCCAACACCATTTTTGCTTTTTCCATTCGTCCAACCATTTAATTGAGTACAAGAAGACAAACAAAGCAGAAGTGTTTGAGGGGTGAGCATTTGACAATGGTTTCCATAGCGTGTACAGTAACTTAACAAAGCACATCAAAAGTATTAGATATAACATATGGGACATGTAAATAATGGCAGCCAGCGTCGCCTACTTCTGGCTTTACAATTACTGTAACACACTGACTGCCGCTTAGTGCACCCTCGCCCAAGAAGAGTGTTCTGCATTATTGTTAAGATAAGGAAATCAAACAGATTATTATATTAACATTAACTCATTCACATGAATAAATGTCATTTATTAAAGAAAAAAACCCAACCCCGAACCACCTCAACTGACTCCTTTTGATACAATGGAGTCGCGGCTCTTCTCCTTGCACCTTCCAGAAGTGTGAGCACCTCACCCCAGCTGCTGTCTTATTCTTTCGTCACTACTCAAAGCTCATGGCAACAGGTTGATGTCAGAATGTAGATCGACAAGTAATTTGCAAGCTCTGAATTCAGGTTCAACTCCTTCTTTATGGCCCAGTTACAAAGCCTGCAATATGGCTGATGGTGCAGCATCTCCTTCCCGGGCACCACCTTTTAGGAGGTGATTAAACTGGGAGGAGACCTGGGGGTAGTCCAAGGGCTTGGAGGAAGGATTATGCATCTCATCTGTTCCTGGGACTACTGGAGCTGGAAAGTGTTGCTGAGGAGAGGGACATCTTGGGCAACTTGCTTATCCTGCTGCCAACGTGACCCGGCCTCAGATATGTTGAAGAAATTGGATGGATGGATGGATGGATGGATGTAGAGATGGATGGATGTAGAGATGGACGGGGCATAAATTGATGGATGGACACGAAAAATTTGGTACAGCCCAGAGATGTCAACAATGACATCACCAGGTCTGTTACAACTGGGGAAAGCTGGCTTTTTTAAGCGGTACCACTGGGGGATCTGAACAAATGCACAAACAAAAATAAGCATTGACCAAGAAGCAAATAAGTGATTAAAATGTATCAAAACTTTAACCAACTTATGTCTACTTAAACTCGTTGATACTTTGGAGTGCGTTGCAGTTTGAGCATAACCTTTCACCAGCATCGAGGGCGAACATACAAAAAAATTAGTAATTCTTTGAACCGACTCTTTCTTGGGCCTACTGAAGAGGGTAATGATGTTTAACACATGTATTATTTGGGTCAGTGAGTCATCATCTAGCAGGTAAGCTAACCAAAAAACTGCCCTCCTGCTCTGTTAAATTGCCATTCCCCTGACTTGTAAATACGTTAAATAAAAACGTCTCACCTTCAACTTCTAGCTTTCTGGAGCCGGACGTCTTGTACTCCTTCTCATGATGTTTCCAGGTACAAACACACGTGTAGATGCCCTCTTGACTTTTGTCAACGTCCATAATCCACAGCTGAGCGCCATGTTCGTCTGGGAAAATATTGGAGTCCTTGATCGCAGGCAGGAGGGGCCACAAATGTAGGGAAGGAAAAGAAAAGGGAAAGAGGTTAGCCTTATGCAATGTAGAATCAGGATAGAAGATGGAGAGTGTTAGGGCATTTAAACATTTAGATACCTTCATGCTCCTTTTAGTTCATGTTCCTCTAAACAGAGCTGTCGGTTTACATGTCAGAGAGCTTACCCCTCTAAACTGATGTTCAGTCAGGACCACTTTGTCAAGAAGGATACTTTGACGCAATTATTTAAATTTGGCGGTATGTCTCTGGGAGGGATCTCCCTGCCCTTCCACACGCTTAGGTGGAAACCATTAGGCAGGAACAGCACACAATTTGCCCTTCCCATGCATACAAGGAAAGCTCTGAGGCAGGGAGATGAGCAGAAAATCCCAACATGACAAGCATGACATTGATTAAGTCAGAATAGCAGAAAAGGAGGAGCTGGGGAGGAGGAGGCACGCAAATGCGTTTGCAAATGAGGCTTGCAGAGGGAGTAGCAAAGAGTAGGCAGGCTAGAGCAGTTTAAAGAATGCGGCATTTGGCCAATAGGACGCTTTGAAGCAAATCAGGCTTGCGTGAGATAAGCTGTTACCAAAACTCTGATAACAGAGTGTGATTCTGTGGCCTGCCTGAACTTCTGCTACGTTTGCTTATCACTTCCTTTATTCAAACTGATATGGAAACATATTTTCAAACATATTTTATTTGTGTTTAGGCTTATAATGAACATGTTAGAGACCATTTTTATGACCCGCTTTTTCAATAAACATGAAATTAAAACTGAGGTGACACTAAAGTCAGCTGTGGAGATCAGCGTCTTTTTAAAAGCTCTCTGTGCTCTAATGTCAGAAACTTCGACTGCACCTAAAACCCTTTGTTTATTTTAAATATTTTGAAGGTCTTGTGCTCGAATCGGATGTTTGTTGCTATCTCTACACACCACAATATAGCGGCAAGCAGTTGAGGCTGATGGAGGAACAGGAGGCAGCAGCCGAGGCACAAGACCTGCCTGTCGGCGGCGCTTTGGGCGAGGAAACAGGGCCGGCTCGAGTTTGGGCGGAGCTGTGCATTCTGAGAGTTGTTGTCTTTCATCCACATGAGCCAAAAAGTCACTTTCTGCCTTTTCTCAGTCAAGAAGGCACCAACTTCAAAATGTATTTCACATTTCTACTACATATATGACCAAATGTCAATACAGATTCATGTTTCAACGGGTGAAGTATCCCTTAAACCTCAACATTAAAAAGTAACGCTTAAAAAGACAAACAAGAACAAGACTATTGTGCATTTTCATAGTGAGAGAATTGAAAAAAACTAATAGTTTAACTTAATTTCTTTATAAACATTTTGAAAATCGTACTGAATTCGTATCATTAACCCAGTATCTTGATACATATTGTATGGTAAATTGATTCAATCGCTACATCCCCCGTCTCCCTTGAAACATTAAAACTGTTAATCAAAGTGTTCATACCTTCTCCCACGAGAGTTTTCCTCTGAATACACTACACGTCTCTTTGACGTTATCTGGACACGGGATCTTTCTGTTTTTGGAACCTCCGCTGACTGTACGAAAGAGGACTTCTGTGTTTGCATGGCTTTTGTCGAAGACCACGAGATTTAAGTGATAGTTGAAACACTCTCCCGAGCTGGTTCTATGCCTGAAAAAGAAGCAGAAGTTCTCTCAGGCACTTTGTTTACAGCAGCACTTCTCATGATCAGAGCATCACATGAAATTCATTCTTAACTGAAGTTGAGTTTACTTACAGTGCAGTGTAAAATCCAGAGTCCTCGATTTGAAGGTTTAGGAAAAAGAGAGCCCCTCCGTGGTAATGCACCATTCTGTCCTCGTTGTTTGAGATTTCCTCTGAGTTATTTTTGTGCCATGTGATGTTTTCATCTGGGATATTTCCGTCCATTAGAACATAAGGCAGGAAATAAAACGCTTCACCTTCAAGTCGGTGAAATATTTCATTGTCCATGTCATTACATTGGAGCTCGTCTGTGTCTAAAATTGAGGGACAAAACACAGAGGGTGGTGTTAATAAATAATCCCGTATGTTGTGCATTCATGGGTGTACATGTGCACAAATACAATGATTGCGATTGTTACAACATTGTACGGCTTCAGTCCAAAATAATGAAGAACAACAGAGTCAAGCTTGGAATGACCAAGAGAAAATGTTTAGAAAAATATTTTCTATAATACATGAGAGAAGGTGTTCATCCTGCAATAGTACATTCATAAGAGATCCTTAAATATGAGATAACACATCAAATGTTTAAATGGAGGGGGGGGGGGGGGGGGGTTGATGCCGACCGCACGTTTAAAAAAAGTGGCAACACAAGAATGGAAAAACATTTTTTATAATATGTCTTTGTGCTGTTTTTAATTAAATAAGGGGGTTTCAATATTTAGCAAATCTTCATGTTCTGGTCTCTTTATTCAAATTTCACAAGACGTCCCCCAACTCTTCAAGATAAAAAACACACTTTAGTCCGTCCAGTGACACTCAATCATTTCTAACTTTCCTCCAAATTTTCACTTTACTGTGAGTTGGTTTCTTCATAAAAAGGTGCAAACATCTTTGCTTTTTAAAAAAGAGACTTAAATGTGCACTGCTCCTTTAGTTAAATAGAAATAACTCTGTGCATTTGTTAGAACGCGGGCTGTAAAATGTGACAACATGAGATATTTATTAAATGATAAATGTCTATTGTCATCTTTTGCTTTTGTCATCATAAATCATGGGCAACATAAATGAAGCACCGTCAAATTAAGGGCAAAATCTGTCATCAGTCATACCACTGATTGCTTCCTCATGGCACAGAGGAAGACAGAAAATTTGAATGAAGGCAAATAAAACAAATATGGAGGGGACTGAAATGAGGAAGTGACAAAGAAGAGGATAAGGACTTCACAAAATGTTGCTGATTGGAAAACATTAAGGAGAACAAGATGAAGAATGAGATGTTATCTGTGTTGGTTGTCCCTGTATACAGTAACTCAAAATGTAAATAATGACAAAAGGTAATGTGTAACCGTAAAGGGATTTCTGTTATCACAAAAAAATCTGTCTGACCTTAAAATAGGATGACTTTAAGTGAACTCTCTATGGTTGTTAATCATTAAATAGTGTGCTGCATGTGTATGACAGTGTGGGGATGCCTTCTTAAATAGTTGAAGCTGCATAAACAAGAACATGAACGCAAACCTACCTGAACAGTCAGATGTGGTTATCAGCAGGAAGAAGACGGAGAATAGAAGTCGTGAAGAATCCATCTGAGAGAGACAGAGTGCATTCAAAGTTAAACACGTGATTTAGCGTCTCGGTCAACAATGAAGATGGGTCCTGTTATATTATGGTTAAGGGTATAATGGCAAACTCTCTTCCACAAAACTGTCCAGATGAACTGGTCCATGGGGCGAATGCATGGAGCCATCCTGAAGACTCTCCAAGTGTGGGATGTGGCCTACAATCTAGTTAAGGACAGTGTGCAACGTGCTTCACCTTATATTTGTGCTAGATTTTTTGCCTATTTAACCTTCATGCTCTTAAAGTGTATTTTCTTTGTTTTTGTTACAGTTTCAATAAAGGCAGATGTGGTTTGAGAAGACAGTTTGAAGTTTTATCATTTTTCTTAACATTTTAAGTTGCAATTTTAAAGGCACTGTTTATTTATTATTTTAAAACATGGTGTTTTATAACCTGACTTGCAAGGAATCATTTATCAAATCACTAGGTTTAGAAAATAAATATATTGTGTCCATTTTGGTAGAAGGAAATTAATCTATTGCTAGGTGTAGTATTTACAATTCACAGTAAAAATCTGCAAATAAACAGTATTAAACAATTAATTCTTTCGACAGTATTTTCCTGTTAAGGTTTAAAATCACAGCTTTTTGCCTTGCCGCTCAACGGTGATGTTGAAAAAATGTAAATTTCAGCAACAGCAATATACCATTAATTTTTCCGTAACTTCCTGGCAACCCTACTGCCAGTTGTTTACCGTTTTTTAACAGGGGGAAAAGAGTGTACATGGGCAGGAGGTTTCAGGTTTCTAAACATCTAAAAGGTCCTTTCCCCAAATGTCATTCCCCACACACTCTCTCTCTTTCTGATTTCTGAATCTATCCGCTGCCCTAAAATACATCTGTACAATAAAAGGCATAAAAAGCCCCAAAATAAACCTTAAAAACCAAAGAAAAAGTAGTTGTGTTGGATTATAATTCTACATTTGTTATTTAGTCTATGAAAGAGGCACTTGTTGTTATCAGTGAGTTTTCTCGAGTCTTTTGGGGCCCCAGGCAAAAAATTGGTGAGAAAACAACTTAAATCAGGCTTGTAATTACAATAATATATTTTATCCATATAGCGCTTTCAAAACACTCAAAGAAACAGTTTACAGTTACATTCAGACATAACAAGTTCAAGGAAAATAAAACGTTTTTGTGACATTAAAACAATGTCACAAAAAGCAAGATTATCTCAGGTTTCTAGCAGCTGAGAAGGAGAGCAATGGGCAGGGAAATGTAGATCTACATGTGGATGCCAACGGTGTAACTGAAAATGACGACCATGTATGGGGGGTTTCAATTCACATCCCCCAAGGATGTGACTCTGGCTCAGGATAGAGGCCCACTCAAATTCACATGAATAACTACAAACATGACAACTCTCTCTCTCTCTCTCACTGCAGTTGCACAACATGCAGCGGATGTGGTGCTCTAAAGCAGAATCAGCACAGGATAGAGGGATCTTATCTTCATGTGCAGTGAGCTTCTCTCCTAATATGACCAAAAAAGCTGCAGCATCAAAAACACAGATAACAACACTCAGAACTCTGGCCCTAACAGAAACATGTGCAACAGGCACCTGGAGCTCATTGTAACCCTTTAGATAAGACAGTCTTCATCGTAACTCGTATTTAACAAGTTATATTTGCTGTTTTAAATTGCAACACAAATTCCTAAAAAGAGGATTTGAAAAACATTTTGCCATTTTTAAATAACAAAAGTTGAATCTTAGAAATGGCATTGCTTTTGCAGTTGGACTTAAAACAATTTGTAGATCGTTTTTAAAAAAGGAAAAAAAATTACATAAAACGCAAGCCGCAACCTCTGGTGTTGAATAATTAAGCCAATGCAGGAGAGCAAAATCCTGTAGTTCGTCAAGTGTACACTTGAGGCTGGTTTCAGGAGCCCCCAAAAGTCACATAAACACCACAGCCAAAAATGCAGTTTTTACAGCACAAATTAACATGTTTACAACCTGGTGCAAAAAACCAAATGGGTCTGATTGTTCCTAATGGGCACACACTGTTTTGATTTTATGAACGATACGTGTTATGCATAGGTATGCGCATAAAATTCATCAGTCATCAGGGTCATCAGTTGAGTCATTAACTTAAGTCACAGTTTAGCCTGGAGATGAATAAGTGACCAGATTGTTATTAAGCAGATGCCTAATCACACATTTAGAGCTCATGCAACAACATTGGCATTCACTCAGAGACGTGTTTCCAGCCATCTGGCGTGTAAAAATGCATCACGCTGTGCTGTTTGATAATGACCAGCTTCTTTCAATCTATAGACTTATGGGTGTCAGCAAGCGAAGGAGTAAGCTGGTAGCAGTGAGAGTTCTTTCAGACGTCTACTTTGTTTCCTCCATAAAACTTTAGCGAGAGAGGGAGAGGTTGATTATTTGATCCCTTACAAGACATCCTTTTACTGTGGGATCGAGACTTTCTACAAAGTCCATGATTAAGCCTTGATTTTAAATAAAGTTGGTACTTAACAGCTTCAGAGTGCTCTCAATCTCATTTCTGACGTAGTCTTTCTGCAGTTTTGGCGCCTTGGGAGTTTATTTTATTTTCCTTTTTTAATATTTTTTATTTCTGGGCTTTTTATGCCTTAACTTTAGAAATAGGACAGTGGATAGAGTCAAAAAGTGAGAGAAAGGTGGCGCAGTGGTGCAGTGGCGCAGTGGGCGCCCCATGTCTGGAGGCTATAGTCCTCCAAGCGGGCAGGTTCAAATCCAGCCATGTGGCTCCTTTCCCGCAGGTCATTTCCTACTCTCTCTCCCTGATTTCCAACTCTATCCACTGTCCAATCTCTCAATTAAAGGCACAAAAAGGCCAAAAATAAATCTTAAAAAAAAAAAAAAGTGAGAGAAAGTGTTGGGGATGACATGCAGTAAAGGAGTCACAGATCAAACTGGAACCAGGACCACAGCCAGGGCGCGGACGCTAACCACTAACGGGCTGCTGGTGCCACAAAGAGAGATCCTTTTCTAAATAAAGCTGCTTTCTGCTGTTGCTATAGGAGCAGTGATGTGTGTTTTTGGGGTCTAAAATTGATTACTTTCAGAGTAACTCACGAGAGACGAAGCCTTTTTTTAAACCCTGTCATAGAGCTTTAATAGAGCTTTAACCTCACTGTTATTTCGGTGGTGCAGAAACTTAAAATACATAAATGAAACACTCAAACAACAACATCCATCACACACAGTTTGTCTATGTGAATGTTGTCAGCTCTTTCCAAAGTCTGTTGCTATGGCACCACGATTTAAACTTTGATGAATTCAGCATAACTCAACATGGAGGATAACACTCTTTTAAATATTCCATGTCCTCCTCTGCTTCTTTTCTGAATGAAATTGTTGTGAAGGTGTTTCATAATCTATCACTCAAGGTTACATTTAATGAATAGACTGAGTGTGCATAATTATCAAAAAGAAAAGTTAGATATAATTAAAAGTTTAGTTACGTATTTGTCCACATAGACTTCAGTACTTAGGATTCTTTTTTTTTGAGACGCAGCTTTATAAAAGATCGCTACATCAGTTTAAAAACCTTCAACTCTTTAAGATCTTTTTATTAAGAAAATGTAATAAAATATATAAATGAACCAAATTTATGTACATCTGATGGTTTTCAAATTATCTTTTGCTTTTATTTCTTTGTCCACAAACATCTAGTTAAGAGTCAGTGAACTCTAAACTCAATGTGAATAAACACGACCTCAAATAATAACCTTAATAATAATTAATAAAATCTTACCTCATAAAGTTTCTGCTGGCAGCTTGAGTACACTCAGTCAGTCAGACTCTGTGCTGTCTTCCTCCTCTGCTTGTGTTTTTATCTGCTCTGCTGAAGCTGAGCTCAACATCGGTTTCACATTAAGAGGGAATCAATATGCACACCCACACAGACACACAGACACACACACGCCTTGTCAGAAATGTATAAACCAGCTAAACCCAACAAGTTTGTGTCTGTAAAAAAAAAAAAAAATCATTCAGTAAGCTATTGGAGGTCAGACTGACCTTGGACCACACAGGACATGTTAGTGCTAAAAAGCATACATGCAGTTAAATGTTTACAGGGCAACGCAAGGAATTCACAATGGACTTCACACTTCTTAAAAATAAAGGAGACAGATCTAAAATTTAGATGTTCATACTACCAAAAATGTGAGTTTAGAAATCCTCATTAAATGCAGGTGACATTAAGCCTTCAAAATCCAAAGGAAACATCATTTAGTTTACATCACGTCTTATTCTTTATGTGCCACCTAAAAAAAGTGCATTCCTTAAAGTTTCATGAGCAGAGCGATGCTTTAACTCTTTAAACTGCCAGAGTAGTTTCTTTGATCATGAATGCAAAGTGTTATTTGAGCACACTGTTGTCAGAACTGAGACATAAACACAGCTTATGTGAGAGGACTGTGCTGTAGGTATTCAAACTAGATCAGACAACAGGCTGTGTCTTGTCTGCTTGATTTGCATGTTGGATAATAACTATTTACATGTTGCTAGGTACACTTCCAAGAACAAGATAGGTTAACAGGATCAGGTCACTGATGACATTCACAATGATGTGACGTGAATTTATGAGTGCTCTGAATTCTCCTCTACTCCTGGACTTTCAATAACATGGTTTGTTATGTTAGGAGGTTCTCTGCAATGAAGTAATGGGTTGTTTGACAAGCAAATACACCGCCATTCAGGATTCCCGCTAAGTAAGAAAGCACACTGACATCACTTTCCAGTGAATCAACTCAGGAAATAACTGTAACTACTTAATAAGAAGAAGGCTTGGTTATTCGAGGTCTACTGTAGAAGTACTTCCTTAGAGTGCAGGTCATTATATTTTGGCTGGTTCAGATTCGAAACAACTGTACCAAAACTCACACACAGGCAAGCAGGGCTTTCACACTTGAGCCTAAAATAACAGAGTCAGGAAACTCTGAAGTTCTCAGTCATGACTGACATCAGACTGACATCAGAGCAAAAAGTCACAAACTAAACTCAGTGATTAAACATGAGTGAAGATTACAGTAAACTATATGAGACACACTTCCTCATTAAGACAGCTGTATATAATTTTTCTTTTTAGACAAACAGCTGCATCCTTCCACAGCGATTGTTGCACAAACGTCCAGCTGCATTACGCAGTGTGTCCTGAGGTCACCATACACCAGGATTCAGATTTCAAGGAGGCATCTTCATAAAACGCTACCCAAAGCCACCTCAATGATCTATTTTTGTATGTGAGAGAACAGATGTTCTGATTAATTCCATAAAAACATTTTCATTTGCTGAGGAGAGACACCCTGGTTTAAAATTGTAAAATGTATAATTGTACATATATACTGAATGTGAGCAAACAAATACATCAAAGCTTTTTCTCAGTTTTTTTTAGACTAATATAGCCTCTTTCACACATGCACTCTTAAAATTTCTAAAAAATGGCTACACTGAAATCTTCCTGACTTGCCTGTTCACATATGCACCTCACAGCAGGAGACTTTCACTGTCAGGCAGGAAGGGGGTATCTCAGAAGGTGGGACATGATAGTAAAAAGAATGAAGCAGAAATGGCATATGAAGCAGTACAGTCCAATGCTGCCATGACAGTTTTTTGTCTTTATATCACACTAAATGTAATTGATGTATTCATAGTTTAAACAAACAAGTGGTGAAGAACCAATTGCAATCAGAAAACGGGTTCAAGCTGATTCATGACGTGAAAGCTCAATTTCACTCTCAGAATCCATTGGCAATCATCATCTGACAGAGGACGCATGCCTCTGGAAAAAAAAAGATTTGAATTTTTAAGTAATTTGTGTGAAGCCAGAGCTTAGCGCTTAACAACTTCCAGGCAAGGCTTCCTTTTACCATGTGGTGGTTACATCTGCATAAGTAAACAATTAATTCTTGGTCCAACACCCAGTTGCTCTGCTGAGTCTTATTTCAACAGAGGACTAGAACTTATACAGCGCTTCACTCTGCAGATCTGATGTTTGTTTGTTGAATTGAGGTCGGATTGATCATTTAAAGGTTTATCTTCTTGCTTAATTTATTTGAGAGACCAGTGGATAGAGTAGTATCAGAAGAGAGAGAGTGGGGTTTGACATGCAGGGTCACAATTCGAAATTTGAACCCAGGCAGGCAGCTTTAAGGACTGTAGTCTCCATACATTAGCGCGCACCATAACCACTAGGCTATTGCGCTCCTATATTTGTGTTTAAAGGGTATACTCCTCATATTTAAAAAAAGAATAGCCTTGTGGAACAACAACATCAAACATACATTTGGTTTTGCAGTACTATTGAACAGCCACAGCAGGCAGCTAACTCAACAAACATACTATAAAAACAAGACAGTACCACTTCTACTTACCTGCTTTTTTTATTGAGAAACCTACGCTACAATCTTTCAATAAGAACTTTTTTAAGATTTATTTTTGGGGCTTTTTATGCCTTTATTTTTAGAGATAGGACAGCGGTGAGAGTCTGAAACTTGAAAACTTGGGAGCGAGAGAGTGGGGAACGACATGCGGGAAAAGAGCTACAGGTCGGACTTGGTCCTGGGCTGCTTACTCTCATGGATTTAAGCCTCTGTACATAGGGCACATTCTCTAACTGCTATAGTTTTTTAAATCCATGTTGTATTTCACATGTAGTTTTCTTTTAACTCATGTGAGCTGTTATGCATTTTATTTATTCTTCTGTACAGCACTTTGGTCAACTGTGGTTGTTTTAAAGTGCTTAACAAGTAAAGTTGGATTGGATTTAATAGGCTTTTTATGTAAAAATGTCAAAGATCCATAGCTTCATTTTTTTTTAAATCTACAGAATCTCCAAAAATCTAGTTCAGTATTTTTTGGGTTAGTTCTTTAAATCGTAACTTTGACATTGCCTGCCATCAATGGAGTTTTAAGTTAACCCTAGAACACTAACTAACATAGAGTATAAAACTTCCCAGCCAAATATATTTAAGTACAACAATACATGGCAAATTGAAGTACTCTTCTTTTATTTCCCCCTATACAAAGTCTCTAAAATTAGTGAAAAATTAGGGAATCTTTCTAATGGAGCTGGGATCTTGTTCTTTGGTCCACCTGTTCCTGAGACATGTGAGCCTTGTCCAGTGTAGGCAAAGTCTCTCACTGCATCACTGACAACTGCAGGAAATATTTTACTCACTATCAATAACGTCGGGTGAAAATCAGCTGACAGCATGCCAGTTGAAAAAAACAAGCATTGGTACGGTGGCTGGGAGGTTTCAGGCGAATGCATTTACAAAAACGCTTCGCAAACTCCACAACACAAATGCAAAAGAGCTGCAACACAAATGCAAAGGAGTCGCAACAAGAAAGCAAAGGAGTCGCAACACGTTATGGCCAACATCTGTTACGGCTCTTCTGCATTCATGCTGTGGAGTTTGCAAATGCAAATGCATTTTTGTAAATGCATTCACCTTACACCTCCCAGCCACCTTAGATACCCAAGGACCCACACAACTCAGACAGCAGCAACACAATGAAATTCACGTGACCACAATCACATGGGGGAAAATCAGTGACCCTCTGGTTCCTCTTTCATTATGAAATCTTCTGACGTTCTGGAATCTGTATGTCTTACTCAGTCAGTTCAGACTCCCCCTCACTGAAAAGGGGAACACTTTACTTGTAGCCAAACAACTGAGCTATACCCCATGACTGGTGAGCAACACCTCCCTGTTTTATGTATTATATCCTACTCTAGATCCGTCATGGCAGCGATGCCTCATATCATGTCACAGTTTATGACCTTCCTGTCAAATTTCTTATTTTAGCTTTTACTTGTGTTGGTGCCTGTATTTTCAAGTCCTCTTGCTGAGTTGTCTCTTTCATCAAGCTCGAGTTCTGCTGCTGCAAAAAAAGTAGCCTCGTACTTTAAGCCATTCAAAGTTATATATTTTTTAATCAAATTTAAGGAAAACCATTCTTCTACTGGAAGCTATTCTAAGGAACTTTACATTTGAGCCCATCTCATTTAGTACAGATGTGTGAAGCATTCTGTATCCCCCTGCTGCCATTAAACTGTCAAACACATCTCTCACTCTGATAATGGATTGCGGTCGCTTACAGCTTGGTGAATTGCACATCAATTGCCCCCGCTGCTTGCTCTCTCGCTTATCCTGATGGAGCTCAACTCTCTCTGTTCATTTCCTATCCCATATAAATACTGTATCACAGTTACCACCTACGCTCAGCAGACTGAGAAAAAGTTCATTTTAACTGCTCGTTAGACGGTTTGTGCAACAATGTTCATTTGCATAGAAAAGGGCTGATTTTCGCACAAATTAATGTAAAATGTCACATTTAGATTCCTGCAACCAGCTCCGATGCTGAATGATAGAATGTGCTCTGTAGCACATGTAGGGGAGCATTTGGTCATTTGTTTATTTGTGAATTAGACAAAACTCAGTTCCAGCATGTTCCGTCAAACCGACCGTCTTGTTTTTGATTGGACATTTTCATGTTTCTTTGGATGCTTTACTCTTGCCTGATAAACATGAACTCTGTTACAGTAGGATTTTGGTTTGGCCATTTGTCCATTAAATAAACTCAAAGTTTGCTTGGGTCCTCTCTGTGATTCTTTCTAACGTGATAACTTTTGTTGTGAAGAATCCAAAGAATCCATTGTGTGGTTTTGGAATGTGTCTAAGAGAGGCTCAAGTGGTAAATGAAGATAATCAATTTGTTTTTTAATTAATCACATACAGTAAATGTCTATGTGGCCTTTATCAATGACTTAGTCGCCCTCAGACGAGCCCTCATTTTGGTCCTCAGACGACCCGCAACATTTCCAGT